GTCCAAAATTGTTTTGAAAATGAAATACAGTGATTTTAGTCATTTTTCTTTGCCAACACAATTGCTGGATCTCAACCTGTTTCAACACATTTGTTACATTTTCAGTACCAACTCATGTCAGTAGGAGAATATCACAAAATATTTGTTTAGTAAAGTAATTTAATGTGAATTTGGAAAATGAAATTTACTAATTAAGTAATTGTAACTTTTTTGTAGTGTTATAGTAGATTTATTCAAATAGTAAATTTATTTTTTAAAACAAGACTTCTGGCTGTTTTTATTCCATGCTTGTTATAAGTTCCATTGAATGATAATTGAGCTTATATAATAATTAATATTTTTTTTAGTAAATCCTGTTACAAATAGTATTTATATTGCCAGTCATTGGAAATTTTCCAAGGTTGCTAACTTGGGGAAACTTAAGTGAGAATCACAGTGCCAGAATGCATGGAATAGTACAAACATTTATTTAAAAGTTATAAAAATAGCATTTACAGATTTGTTGCTCATTAATTATTAAAATCATTTCTAACATTTACTTTATTACTTCTTTTTGTAAACACTTGTTTGATCAGATACATTACTTTTACATTATCTTTTAGTTCCTTATAACATTGTTAATTACATTATGCAAGTTCAAATCATAGATAGTTTACTTATGGAAGAACTGAACCTTGTTCCACTGTGGTAACTTGGGGCATAGAAAGACTGGAAACAGGTGTTGCAGGATGTCTAGCAGAAGGAGCACATAAATTAAGGGGAATTTATGCTAACTTAGATGCTAATTAACTTGCATACTCCTCTCTCCATGGGCATCTTTTACTGAGCATGTCTCTATGTTTTTCGTGAGTTACATTAAAAATTTAATTAAACTACTTTTTGTTCAAGTTATAACCAATTGGTATAGCATAAAATCATAGCTAATAATTCATATTTTGATAGTATATAAGGTTTTAGTTCTTAATTTTTAAGGCAATAATTTTAAAACTCCTGAATTTCCCCTAGTATGAGAATTGTGACAATTGCTTTCCAGGCATCCCCTCTTCCCTAATTTATTTACTACCCCTCCAAGAAGTAAGAAATGTTGTCATTGCTCAAGCAAAGTGTGATTTTCATAGCCTTCAATTTTGTTTGGTTACAGAGCCATCAAATAGAAAATCAGACCCGTCTTGCCACAACTGCCTGTCACATCCTCTCTTTTAGGAACTGTCAATAGTTCTCTCTTATATTTAGTACTATATTATTTACAATACTGTGCAAAAGTGTTAGAACAAGATAATATTTTGTCATTCTTTCCATTTTATTTGGCTAATTCTTCCATACCATTTCAGAATGTAAATTGCAACATATGGCAATGTTTCACCGATCCCTGTTGACAATTGAATGAGCCATAGTGAGAATACTTATCATTCTTTCGAATTCCCATATACTTGTACCAGGAGCATGTCATAAGTGTTTTATTTGAATGAACATACTGATCAAATTTAGGGTCTGAAATAACTGTCATGGTGCCCCATGCAGTGTCTTAACTAGTATGGAGCTATCATATGGTACTGGTATATGCTAGAAGAAATCAATTTAATAGCACTCCACAAATAGACCTTGATAAAAACAGTGTTTAACACTGTATATTAAGTCTTGTTGTCATGCTATGGCCCAAAAAAGCATAGAGAATTGTCAGTAGAGCACAGAGTTTTCATAAAAGCTTTACGTAATGCTGGTTGAACTCTCCGACAAATTGCTACAGACTTGAAATGCTCCCCAAATACTGTAAAGTACACCCTAGATCATGAAACTGAGACAGGTAAATTTGAAAATAGGAAAGGAAGAGGCAGAATGCCTACATTTAATGATACTGTTGTTAAGTATATTTGTTTATGTAGCCTATGGGACAGAAGGAAGATTGCCACTGATCTCATGCATGAGATAAACGACCATGTACCAAATGACAGAAAAGTGTCCAGATCTACGGTATCAAGAAGACTCAACAAGAATAGAATACTTAGTTGTGTAGCAGTTAAAAAATTTGCTAAGAAAGTGCAAAAATTGGACTGTTGATGATTGGAGAAGGGTGAGTCCAAGTTTGAAATATTTGGTTCAAAGCATAGGTTGTATGTCCAGTGGAAGAAAGGTGAAAGATACTTACCTCAATGCATAGCACATACCATGAAGCATGGGGGAGGCACTGTGATGGTTTGGGGGTGTTTTACGGCTGAGGTGACAGGAGATATTTGCAAAATAGATGGAATAATGGATCAGTGCAAGTACCATCAGATACTGATCCATCATGGTATACCCAGTGGTTTGTGTATTATTGGTAAAGGATTCTACTATCAAGAAGATAATGACTCCAAACACTCATCCAACCTATGCAGAAATTACTTAGCTGAGATAAAAGCTGCTGGAGTCATTCAAATGATGCAATGGCCCCCACAAAGCCCCAATCTCAACCCAATTGAGCAGATCTGGGATTTGATAGATCAAAAACTTGACAAATCAAAAGTTACTTCCAAAAAACTTTATGGGAGTGTTTTAGAAACATTTGGAGTAAAATCTCAAAGGATATTTTGATTAAATATGTTGCAACAATGCCTGAAAGACTGTCTGCAGCTATTAAAGCAAAAGTGGGACACATAAAATATTAACTGTTTGCTAAACTCAAGCACTTCTACTGAGTTTCTGTTGTACTGAATATGAAGATTAATAACAATTTTGATGTTTCGCCTATGATTTACCTTCTATTGTTCTTTGAAAGTAGCCTGAAATCTAATTTTTGACTTTGTCCTAATACTTTTGCACAGTACTGTATAAACAGTAGAAAGCCAAGTGTTTCCTCTATCAATTGATGTATTATATTATGTTGTTTTTCTCTTTTATTACAAACTTCATTCTTACAGGAAACACATCGACTAGCTTGGATGAACTTGTAACGGCTCTTTTCACATAGTTAGAAAGCCAGAAAAATTGGGATAGTTATGGAACATTGTCAGTTTTTTGCATGTTATTATTCTATGTTCTTTGATGCATTATTTAATTAATTAAAAATCATTTAGTGCAGTACTACCATTAGTATATAAAACCAACAAAAAAATCTAAATCATCCTTTTTTTTTCTTTCTAGAATGACTTCAAATTGTAACATGAAACTACATTTGCTATTCCTAAATAGCTTTTAACTCATAACAGTATACATGTGTTTATACCTAAATTTTATTGTTTTATTGCTCTTTGAACCATGTCTAACTAATAATCCCGCAATACAAGTTGTAATTCACTGAGTGAATTTGTAGTTCCTATTACCATATGGTAATTTATAATGATAGTTTTTACTTGTAGCTGACCCAGCTGTTTAACATATTTTTTTCTCTGACTAATTTAGGATGATAATTAGGTATGTGTTGTCCTCAACAAAGATGTTTGGGTACATGCATGCTTCGTTCATACTTCTAATCCTCATTTCTCTAGATCAATCTATAATTTTGGGAATGCTTCTGTTGATTGTATTTGGTCTGTGTTATTAACGAAAAATGAAACATCAGTGTTATGTTGGCAGGTTTTCCCAAGAGGTTTTTTGCTATTTACATTAAATTATTAATGACAGACTTCAGCATTACATGTATAATTAGACTAGTGTTCTATTGGATATACAAGACTGTTTAGTGTAAGTTATTATTTAGTTCTTTTAGTGATCTAATATTTAATAATTATTTAGTTTTCATAAAAAGAGTGTTAAAAGTTGATTATTTAAAAGCAATAGTTATGACAAATTTCGTTATGCAACTCGGTAAGAGTTGTACATTGAGTGTGTAGTTCAAATATTATAGTAATATTGATGTCATCTTTCTCGAAACCTCTAAGTTTTCTCCCTATGTGAGATTGTTACATCATAGCATCTCTTAGCTTGTAGAAAGTTTAAGGCCTCGGTTGGGCAAGGTATATGTAGGCAGCCAAGTGAGTGCAAGTCCATAAAAGTTCAGTCAGAAGAAAAGTAAGTCAGAAAATGTTAAGTTAGCTGGCATGTAAGTGATTAGCCTTAGTGGGTGATTTATGTAGTGTTTCACAGCTGTATTGCAACAACAGAGAAAGGAAAAATAGTTTTTCTCATCAATTGAGTTCTAAAGTAACTGAACCAACCTGTATGTACTTTTGATGAAAAAAAAGACAGTTATTTGAAGTTCTGGATACAAGTGTGGTAACCAAAAAAATTTAGTGAAAATGAAGTTAGACTGCGTGATTGTTAGTTTAGCTGTAATGAGCAATTTTGTAAAGTGAGTTTCACAATTTAGCAGAGATGTGGTACATAGTCTTCAATTTTTAGTTTATTTGTTTTTTTGGTTCATTTTTATGTTTGTGTTGTAAATCTCAGATATTTTGTGTTTAAAATGGATTGTCAGTATTTATTTGTTAACCTTCCTTAGTCATTGAAGTGGTACACTGGGATGTGGGGCCAATTAGAGGGTGGGCCATTTGGCCCAGGCCTCAAGCTCAAAGGGACATCAAATTTAGACACTTCTTATTTTTTGCATTTGTTAAGTGCCTCCCAATCAGACCAAAATGTGACACACTCTCAGCTTAGAGCTGCAAATTATATATACAAATTAAATATTTAAATTATGTTTCACTTTTATTTTGAGCTAATGAATGTCTTGTTTTGTTTTCATGTGTCATAATTGTTTTTATTATTATAGCCAGGGTCCTCAAAATATAGAAATGGCCCAGGCTTGTCTGAACCATTGAGAGAGCCTGCTGGGATGCCTAAATAATACAGAAATGTTCTGATATTTATTGATGCAGGTTCATAGGTTGGAACGGTATATAATATGTGAATGCAAGTTTAAAAAATTTTTCTTAATGTAGATATAGTAATAAATATCGATTATTTTATATGCTTTAGGATACATGAATTGTCATTTTCTGTATTTGTTTCTTCTGTAGGCTAACTTAGGTTATGGTATTGTGTGTGATTTGTCTTCACCCTTAGAATTTCTCTAATCAAATTAGGTACGTAGAAGCTCTACCAGATCGAGTTACTGTTGTGTTTAGCACAATCTTCAGAGATGAAGATGACATCATCATTGGCAAAGTTTTCATGCAGGCATGTATTCATTATGTTTTATTAAAGTTATAAACAGTTTTCACTACCATTGTGTAATAAGGTCTTTCTAGACTAAATACCCAAGTCAATTTATTAAAATGTCCACAGATTCTACCAAAATTGTTATTAACCAAACCATATTTTTAAAAGTATTTAAGGTAAGATATATATTTAAGAGTATTGTTAAAATGGGTTGTTTGACAAATATTGTATGTAAATTCATTTTAAATTAAAATTTTTAAAAACTTTTTATTTGTAATTTTAACACTGACAGTGAGGTTTTTATTGTCATTGAATTCATTTGTTTTTCATCCTTTAATGACAGTTAGGCCAGGTTGTTTCAAGAGTGGATTTTGCTGGGTTCAATAGACATGGGACTTAGTGTGGCTGTTGGAATAAATTAATTTTGCCATGCCACATCCTGTTAGATGTGTTAATTGAAATAATTGTGATTGACTCTAATTACTAGAAAATTTGCTCATTATAACATAGTTTAAGCATAAAAAATGAGGGGGAAAAAGGTTGCTCTTTAATGTTTTAGGTGTGAGTGAAAGATTTGGTTATACTGATTTTTGCTCTGCCTTATGTTAGAAGCTAGTGGATAGAAGTTAGTTACTACAGGTCAGACATGAGTCACAGCTGTGGTCTTTTGTAGATTTACATTTCAATCATAATAATCCTCATAGCAGTGGTGACATTTGTACTCAAGCACAAGTAGAGACCATATGGAATAAGTAATAAGAAAACCCAAGAGTCTAATTACATAAAATTAGTTTTATTATGTCCTGATGAAAGGCTAGTTTGCTCCTTGTTACAGAATTCTTATAGCTTTTGGACACATTTTTTTAAGAGGATGCTTGGAGTGGTGGAATGTTTTTTATATTGTATTACATAAAAAATACTTAGTGCTTTGTAATTTGAACAATTCAGTCTTGTTATATCTGCATTTTAGACATGCAATGCTGTTATTTTTTGTATTTTAATAAGATTTTCTGCATGTATAACAGAATTTGCATAAATGTGACTTCTGAGTTATAGAACTTTAGATTTAAAAATGTTGCTACCATAGGCTAATATAAACAAAAAATTGCTATGTGTACTAGAAATTCATTTAAAAAACTGTGTTTAAACCTGTTATATAATTTATTAAGAATTAATCAAATGTGTACAGAAACACGTAAAAGATAATCTAAATTTTATCTAAAAACAAAGTCAAAAATTTGTTGTTGATAAAACTTTTTACCCTTTATCTTATTTCCTCTATCATAACACTGACTGCAGCCAAATCATTAATGAATGTTGAAATGAAAAGTTGAAAAATTTGAAGTAAAATAATACCTTTTTTTTTCCTAGAGTGAATGCAGATTGTAACAGACAATAACAGTTACTTATCCTAACAGACTCAGCTTCTAATTTTTTTTTAATTTAAAGTTTTACTACTGTACTTTTGGACCTTTAAGGTAAGAAAACATGAACGTATAACAGATAGAAATTAAATATTGAGTTGTATTTTACACATGTGGATTTTTCATGGCTAGAGACTTCAATATTTGCAGTAGCAACAAATTTTACAGTGGTAGAGCTCAATGTTACTATGAGATTAAAGGCACTCACATACAACAAGATTGCCTCGCTTTCTGATGGTCTGGTCATTTTAAATTTTATTTAATTTTGTTACCTAATAAGTTTCTAATTTTTTTCATTTTAGGTTTTTTGAGAAATATATACTGCAATAAATAAAAAATAAGTATAGAAAAGATGTAACCCTTATTTAAGTGTTGAGACCATTTGCACATGGATGCCTTGGATCATTAACCCTAATTTTTCTCACAGTGTTGTTTGACCAAAACATAATTCATATTGTTTTAAATATGCATTTTAGAATACAAAAAATATATCAGGCACTTTAATAAAATGTCCAGAAACTACTGTGATTTGCCTCACTTTCAAACTAAGCTATAAATAGGTTCAAAAGTTCTGTTACTGCTAGGAGCATTGACTTTACTCAACACAAACCAAAATTGTCTGCTGTATTTTACTGTCAAGTATAAAGAAGTAATCTTAAGATTACTTGAGTGTTATTGCTATTTCTGTTGACTATAAGCATATCCATCAGATAATTAGACATGTAAATAATTAGCTTGAAGTGCATGAAAATATAGGAGAGGCTTTTCTACTTGGTTTAACAAAAAATAATATATATATATATATTCAAAACAAGTCAAACGTATGTACAAAAATTCTTTACACTACAGGATATCGCAGTTGTATCTAAAACTCTAAATAATTCTCTTTTCTTGTCAAAAGTCCACTCAAGCTGATTCAGTTACTTTAGAATCTAATTGACAAGAAGAACTATGTTTCTTACTGTACAATCTGTGATAGATTCACTTACGTTATCCTGTGAATTACCACAGATGTATCTCGAAATTTAAATTATTGTCTCCTTTTCATCAAAGTCCACACAGAGGGGTTCAGTTGCTTTTGAACACTCTTTGACAAGACAACTTATTATCCTTATCTCTGTTAAGCTTTGAAACTTACTTTAAGATATTGTCCGTTACGGCTAACCACATGCATGCTGGCCAACTACACATTTTCTAAGTTTTCTCTGACTGAACTTTCACTTCACTTTTCTCTACTTCTTAACTCACGAGCCAACTATATATAGATATATACCTTGTTCAATGAGGCATCGAATTTTCGACAAACTACGCAATGCGATGACTTAACAATACTCAGTTAAGGTAACTAGTATGCTTGCTCTGCTTTACAGTGTGTTATAATATAAAAGTAAAGTTATTGCATGCGAGTAGAAATAGAACTGTATGTGCCAAGGCATTGTAATGAGTGTGATACTTTGAGCAACTTAAATAGTGTTAAAAGTTTGATACAATTATAGATGTTTGTTACAAGTTAACTTTTACATAGTCTGTTGAAGTTTACAGCTTTAATTAATGTGACCTTGAGTTATTCACACAGTTCATACACATGTTGTTAGAAGGCCAGTGTTATTTGTCATTCCAGTTCTACATGTGTTACTTTTTGGATGAATTACATTATTTTTACAATAAAGACAATACACACCCAGATATGGAATGAGGCACTCCTCATACCCTAAGTATCTGGAATGTGAAATTTACAGAAACAGAATGAATAACTTGACAATAAAACGTTGAAAAAGGCTTCTTAACTTTCTCAGTGCAGGCTCAGGCAGTCTTTCAGTTAATATTACAAGTCTTTCACATACAAGAAATCATATTTTGTAGCCAATGACAATAAACTGCTTATCAGAATTTGATGTTGTAAAATGTCGGCAGCAGTAACAAAATGCAGCTTTTTTTCTCCGTACAAAATTCCAACCATTCTCTTCCATTCTACCAGGTGACAGGGTCAAACTAACAGGAGTGTGTGTATACATCTTTATAGACAGCAAAAGCTAATATTTTGTGATTTTAGACAAATGTCAAAGCAACACAGTGTAAGTTCTGAGATTTGAAACACATTCGATGAAAGCATGTGTGTCAAGCCGGGAGGTGATACATTTTAAATAATTCAACCAGCATGATGTGGGTCTTCTTTATCATAATGATTTAAAGTTGTCATTTCTTTTTCTTTTTTTTTAAGATTTAAAGATTCCTCTCTTTACAAGGAATTACAACTATGAACAGACAAAAGAACTTGCAGCGATGTCTGTCTTGCAGCACTGGTCGTTTCTCAAGTTCACGCCAAGATAAAAACATTTAACTTTTATTTTTATTATTGTACCTTCCAAATGTGGAATGACCTACAGTTTATTTATGGAAAGGTTGATTTGGGGTGTGGATTCATTCACAGCACAACAGAGCCACGTACAATAATGTGTACAGCAGGGGTTCCCAGACTTTTGGCAATCACAGACCAGTAAAATTTCAAAATTATTTTTGGTGAAAAGGACTTACACAACTTTTAGTCATCAAATATTGAAAAATAAATAAGTGCTTTCAACAGCCAAGACATGTTGTGGACTGGTAGAAGTTAATTCAAGGACCAGTGTTTTGGAAATACTGGTGTACAGTACAGCTAACCCTGTAACACACAATTTGTGTACAAGGTGAAGTTAGTACATGGATGCTCTGTGAACGACAAACAATCGCACCACATACACACTGAGTTTATGCATTACGGTACATATACTGATACTTCTCAGTATACACCATGTGCGTGTAGCCTACATTACATTACATGGAGGCTTAGAATCAGGCCGGATTATTAATGAAAACTTTCTAATGTTGTCACTTTATTTTACCATTGGTTGGAATACTTCATTTGATTTAGAAAGTGATTTAGTTCAAAATGTGTAGATTAATAACAAAGACTGAACTTATGGCTGAAGTGAAAGATGAATTTAGGCAATCAACCTCAAAAATTTGTCTCTACAATGGTCACATAACATTATGTATTGATCATATACTAGCTGCAAGGTCAGTTCCCATTTTTATTTTTCACCCGTTCAAATAAAATAGAGAAAGATATTGAGAAAGATATTGTGATTTTTCTGTGTGTAGGACATTTATTGATAGCTTTAACCATTTCAAATGTAATGAAGCTTCAAAGTATATTCTCAGTAGTCTTTACAATTTTTAAGGCTAAACTGTCAACAATGAAACACAATGACATCTTCAACTTTACATAATCGTAATAGGGCTGATTTAGCACTATAATAATCAGCAATTGGTCATTTCCAATTGTGATATGATCAGTAAAAACAGTATAGTTTTACTATATGTTTTTGTTGCCTAGCAAAATGTCCAATGTGTTTTTAACTTCCTTAGAAATGTTTGTGTTTCTATCTGAATTTTAATAAATCTTAAAACTCCTTTATGTACTTTGAAATATTGTGTACTTCATTCTTGCTTCTACATGTATTATAGATGTAATTTATATAATGTTTATTGGAGTTTCAATTAGTGAGCTTTATTGTGAGATGATTTCAAAAGTCATTAGTAATTTCATTTTCTTGTAAGGTAAATTCTAACATTAAAAGAAATATTTAATGTTTGTGAACTTTTTCCTTACACAATGTTTTTTAGCATTATGTTTTATTGAGTTACCATGTATACACCCAACCAAACTCCAATTATGGAATGATAAACAAATCAAACATTTTTCTTGTGGTGCTCCTTGTTAGTGTCAATTATAAAATTATAGAAAATATTCTTTATATCAATGGTTGCTAAAGTATATGCTTCAATGTTTTGTGCTTTTGATATATATATATATATATATATATATATATAATTTAATGGATCTTGTAGGCTTGATCCATTGAGTATTTATGTGGTGAAATATTAGGTTTTCCAGGTTGTTCAGTTAGTACCTGTTAGACCAGTTTGTTATATTTTATGACAGACTTTTAAAGAACTTACAAACATTTTTAGGTTTTTAGCTTTATTTTATGGTTGTATTCAGTATTTAGAAAACAATTTTGTAAGTCCTTGTTTATTACATACTGTTGTTGCTATAATTAAAAATTACATTATGATGCTATTTCTAATAATGTCGTAAACAATTTTCTCTAGTGTAACAAACATAAATTATGGTGATGTGTATTAAGAACATTTGAGCATTAGCAAATATTGCTTTTATTTTAATTTTGGAATGAACTTTATTTGGATTTTATAGTTTCAGATTACATTCAAAATGCAGTTTTGATTATTTGTAAATGGTATCAAAGCTCAAGTTCTAAGTACCTTTAAATAAATTTACTTTGGTAGTATAAAAATATACATTATTTTTCCTATAAATTTTCAGTGAAGCTTTTTAAAAACTGTTTAGTTTGACACATTTGTCAATTTAAATCAGATGGCATAAAGATGTTTTGTTGACATGCTAAGTGTGTATAAATGAAAGTTCGAATAACAAAACTGTTAAAAAATTTGGGTGGTAGATCATATACAATAGGTGGGCAAAATATTGTAAATTTAGGTGCATGTAATTTATCCTGTTATATGATAAAATGTAGTTGCTAAAAACACAGTTCACATCATGAAATCTGAGTTTTTCAGACCCATAATATTTGTTTATTTAAATCTGATCCATCTTTTTGCTATAGAATGTAAGTACTTTCAAACCCTATGTTTCCTGCTGATTGTCAAAAACAAACAATGTTTTTAACAGATATTCTATTGTAATATAAATTATTCATATTCTGAATATTTGTGCTAAAATAATTTAATTATATTGAGGTTTATCTCAAACTAGGCCAATTAAAGATATTTGATATGTTATACATACTTCTTTATGGAAATCTCTCCCACTCCTTGTTGCAACAGAGTATTAAAATTTTTCAGGTACTTTAAATATTTTACATGATCATGAAATAAAATGTTGTACAGGAATCTATTATTCCACAAACAGCTCTCTCAAAACTTCATATTGTTTGTAAGTTATGCGGGTATCTCTTAAAAAACAAAAGATCATATGTAATCTCTTGTAATCTCATATATAATGTCTGTGACTCAATTTTTCATATATATATATTACTATTTGTTAATTGTTGCTATTGATGGTTAATCAGACTTTATAAGAACAGGTCTGCAGCTATCAACAGTAATGCTCAATCTTGAGGGCACTATTGACTAACACTTATTTCCATTGCAACAACTTCTGCCAAAAATGCAAAGTCAAACTCAGCAAATACATTTTATAAATTTTCTGCAGACTCTCTGGTATATGTAAGTGTTGGCTTCTGAGGCCATGTTTTTAAGGAGACTAAAGCTACAAAAAGACATGAAAGAATTTAAGTTATGTGATTGAACAGGATCGCCATGATTCCAGTTTCGTACACCATTTTTCTTTTGAAAGCATTTTTTTATTTCTAATCTTGTCAATGGTACCAGGAGATATGCCCAGCTTCATTGCAATGGCTTTTTTGGGGTGAAAGGAACTTTTTATGTAACCATAGTTTTAACTTTCAAATGAAGATGTAGTTCCAGATTGCTTTGAGATATGGTTGTGGAATCTACTTCTGTGTGGTATTTTCTGCTTCTATAGAGAAGATATAGTGCTCTTTAGCTTTTCAACACTTTATGCCTTTGCAGTATGAATATTTCAGAAAGAATATTCACATACTTTTGAAACCACAAGTTTACTCTACCTACATATTACTGTCAAATGTTCAAGAGTTTTCTGTGAACAAATATAGCAACAAAGCATGGTACCAACCAAGCAACACACCACTGCACTAGCTTGAGTAAGCTATTTATATCAAGTGTAACTAACCCTTAATATAACTTGTACAATTTTATCAGTATAGGCTTTAACTACATACCAGAGAAAATAAACAAATTATTTTGGATTACTTTGGTGTGAAAATATATGTTTAATTGGTTGTTTAATATAACTAATCAAATCCAAATTCCAAGAAAAAGAAATAGGATGATAAGAGAACTTATATAAACAAAACCTAAAATATAAGATCCTGTTTCATAGGAATTCAAGGAAGGAAGAAAAGCAAGTCACACTGCACCACAAGTCCTTTTCAGTCACCGTGAACCTCCCCGAGAGCTTGAACATACAGACGCAAGAGTTGGAGACAACATTGGCTATATAACTTTTGGTAAGTTAGATCTTTCATGGAAAAAAAACAAATAATGCTTAATAAATTCCAGACGTGCTAGATATGCATTTTTCCATGGAATTATTCATATTTTATCAGTAAGTAAAACAGGCCATAAAATTTCATAGAGCTTAAGTACTTGCTTAGTATTTTTAATCCCTCAAGTAAATGCATTGAATTATTGACCTGGAAGTGGATAGATTAGTAAAGTTGCAAGAAATGAATGAAATTACTGACACAAAGATGGAAATCAGTGAAAACATCACTTTACAAAACATGTTTTGTATAAGAGGCCATCTAATATTACTTGACAGTGTGTGCGTTTTAATGAGACTGATTATGTCTTGTTATACTCATGTACAGCAGTATTTAATAATTTATCAGCTGGAAACATAAAATTGAGAGAGCTTGAGAACTGTGCATAACTGTTGTTTAAGTTCTTGTTTTTTTCTTACTGTATTCGTGAATTTTTTGTTCTCAATTCTAAGATCATAACCTTTGAAAATTTAACTAGCAAATATTCTGTAAAATATTTTTAAATCTTTTGTCTTACTATTCCAGTAACCTGAAAATGTTTCCAGGTAGAGTTGAAACCTTGCTCAATAAATATTGAATGTTGAGAATAAAATCCATTTGAGTTATTTTTATTCTTGAAATGTGTCTGTGATTAAATATTATAAATTATCTTTAATTAATTATTCATACTTTATCTTGTTGGCATTGTGAGGAAAATAGCATTGATAACATTTCATTCTTTTTCTTCTCTAAATGGGCAGTGCTCTGGTTCATGAGACTTACAACAGTTGAATGTAGTTTTAGTATTGCAGAGGGAACTGTTTTTTAAATTACTATTTCTTTTTGATATTTTGTAAACTCGGTCTGTGAGTGACAATAGCAGGTATTAAATGGCCTTACTGACAACTTGAATCCTTATCACTCAGCAAAGCTAAAAACTTATCTTTCTTTTTGTTCCCTCTATTTCTTGACTTAAACAATGTTTAGAGTTTTACATTTTGTCTAGTTTCTATTTTTACTTCCCATTAAGTTCTTTTGGTGAAATGTTTTTCAATTTTTTATTGTTAAAATGTGTTTTTTATGGGAAATTATTTCCTATGAACATAAATGGTTGGATTTATAAATAAAAGCTAAGAGCAAATTGACAGCATACTCATGTTTAGATTATTCTAAGTTAGAATGATGAAAAAATTGTTTATAAGCCAATTACATTTTTATAAATTTGAAGCTGTAAAAAGTGTAAAATTATATTTATATATATAAGCATATAGATCCAGTTGTTAATTTAAGATGCACAGAATGTACATGTAAATCACTATATTGCATTTTTCAGCTGTAACTTAGACATACATCTACAGTGATATGTGCTGAAAATAGTGTATACTTTACAAACTTTTAAAAATCTATTTAATCCTCTGTGTGTTTGTGTGTAAAAATTTGAAGTTGTTGTTCTTGCATGTACTCAGTATGCAACATTTGTTACTATTCTTTTGTCTTGTACCATAATCAATAGAAATTAAGTACATTGAATTACATGATGAGGATTTCATTGTATTTTTTCTATTAGTTTTATTTCCCAGACACACCAACAAACAAGCTAGGAACAACACTATTAACTTGATCCACATATTCAGAGATTACCTTCACTACCATATTAAATGTTCCAAGGTAAGTATTTATTCTCATTAATCCTTTGTCTTCATCAAAGAAGGAATGGTGTTAACATTGTTCAAAATAAAGCACATTTATTTGACTGTGTTTACATACAAGTATTTTGCTGGTCTTATTGTTAGCAAATAGTTTTACTTTTGTATGATATTGTTCTTAATTTGTTTTAGGTACAGAAAATGTTAATTACCTTTATTTAATATATTCATTTCAATTTCCCAGATTAAAACAAAATTTATAAAATATAAAATTTTTTAGAAATCTTTACAAGAATTTAGGAGGACATAAAATCAATAACTGAAACATACAACAAATAAAACTATTTGTTTAAGAAACATTTCACAAAGAAATTTTTGAAAGTTCCAAAGCTGTCATACAAACATCACATATAAAAATAATATATCTTGTTTTACAGAAGCTACATAACCTGCTGAAAATTCACTTCAAGCTTCGAATAATCTCATCCAGTATTTTTTTCTTTTATTGTTTAATCCTTTTGCCACAGGTCAAAGGCCATATCATCATGTTTGTTGATTTGCATTCAAAATTTTATTGAACTACTATTTTATGAATTTATGTCAATATGTGTATCACCCCCTCAGTGGCACAGCGGTATGTCTGCGGACTTACAGCGCTAGAATCCGGGTTTCGATACCCGTGGTGGGCAGAGCACAGATAGCCCATTGTGCAGCTTTGTGCTTAATTACAAACAAACAATATGTGTATCAAACTGTTGATTATAATTCAACCTTTAGTATTGTACATTACTTGATTTCTTAATTTCCAAGTAAATATTAAAAAAAAACACCTAAACATTGATGTTTGTGTGTCATGTGGTATGTTGAATGCAGCACTGGTTCAAATTAGATGTTTGTGATGTCAAAATACAATGTGTATAGTTTTGTACGAATTAGGAATTCAAATTACCAATATTAACAAGCTAGAATATAAGATAAGAACCTCCTATCTTTTCTATTTGCTGAGATATTGCTCATGTACTGAATCAAACACAGTGGCCCCACTCACCTTTTTCCATTTTAGGAAACTGTTCCATATATATACACTTACTTCTGTATATAACATGTGAATAATCAATTGAAAGCTCAGAATGTCCCCTAGTGGCTTTCTCAGCCATTATCAAGTGTTATGACATCATTACATTCTTTAGATACAAATCTTCATGCTGGTAAAGTGTATCTTTATTGAGCTTGAAATTGTATATTTTTTTAGACCCAAGTACATCCTCCACCTGCAAAATCTGATAAGGCTTAGCAACCTATGGCAAGCGGCAAACGAGTACAAAGTTCGTAACTAGAAGAGATAATTGTTTACTACACTTCTTTATTTACTGGTCTATGTTTTAAGAAAAATAAATTTAAGTAAATAGTAATAATGTATATACATATGTAATGTATTATAACTGACATGTGACTGTATTTTACAAAATACTATCCACTAAAACACAGCCAAGACAGGTTACTTTGTAAAGGCCAGTTTTATATTCTTGGATACGGTAACATGAGAGCACGTGTGCCGCATCATTGCAACTTCTGTAATGTTAGCCAGGCATGACTGGAATGTCAATATAATAAATATATAATGTTAAGAGATTTAAGCTATTTAGAATAAATAGAACGAAAAAAGCATAATTTATATTTATTTCCTAATTTTTTATGGTGGTTACAAGGTCAGTCAAATTGACAGACCCCATATAGTTAGGGTAGAGAAAATAACAGACTAGCTATAAAGTTTTACTGAAAACAAACGTTTGAAATGTATTTAGGAGGTTTTAGAGATTACACAAATAATATTTGAGATTTTTGGGATGAAGAATAGTTTTTAATCATAACATGAAAATCACTTCTCACTCGGACTAGGAACAAAACAGACTCGATATTTTCACAAACAAACTTTTAGTAAAAATACTTCATTAAAAAATCTGATTTTTTGTGTACAAAAGACTTGGAATCATTACTAAAAGTTATAGTATAAATGCTTATCATGTAGAAATGTGTATATGAACTCGTGTGTTTTATAGCAAGCCCACTGCAAAAGGGGTAAAGGTAATTGAACCTGTACATTCTTACTGCATTACAATTGAATATTAAATGTAATCATTTATATTTTCTTTTGAAAAAAAAACTTAATTCATGATAAAATGCTATTTTTGAAACATAGCTACTCTTGGTATTTATAGCATTCGAATGTTTGATTATAATCTTAGGTTATCTTTGAGACCACCTTTCTTTTCTCACATGAATATAATATATGTAATCTTGCACTATATCAGTTACTTTAGATTTATTGTTTTGCTTATCAAGAAATTAATGTCAGAATTACTTATCTAACCCCAGTGGATCCAAATTCTTTATTTCCTCCTCCTCTGTTAATCAAAGTTTAACTTTTTTTAACTTGGATAACTTATTTTCTAACAAATCTGCTGAGCACATCTCCCTTTTCAGTTTTAAAATTATTCATCCCAAAGTTAAATATAACTATCACTACATTTTCTCTGTAGTCATTGTCAATGACTCTAAATCCTATATTGTTAAAATACATGAAAGTTAAATCTGATTCTGTGAGCTGTTTTAAAACATTAACATCCCTTTTGGAGAACTATCTGATGTTGTGTTTTTATTACTGCTCTATCTCCAGATAGAGATACGGTGACAGGTAGGGGTGGCCAGGTGTCCTGTTTTTTTGGTAGTTTGTTCCAGTGTCCTGAGAAAAGTTCTTGGGACATACATAACATCCTGGTTTTATGATAAAGACATCAAACTGTCAGTCACATCAAATCATGAATGTAATAGGTCTACTTGACTTGCTCATTGTTGTAATATGTACTTTCTTGTCTGAAAACTCTCAAAAGTTCCTTCTGTGTGTGATGAGAAACCCACGTCTGCACAGGTTTTTTTGCCTAGTAGTACTTTAGTAGACTTGTAGCAGTTGGTGAATGTGTGGTGGACAGTTAAACATCAGGAACTGTTCTTTAAGATATTTTTATTATTGGAAATGTTTAACCTATCAAAGTGTCAAAATGCCAAAATGAAAGTGTGTTTTTTCAGATACTTCGAAAGCAGACTTCCATTTTTTAAAGGCAAATGAGTTGAATAACAAAGTTGAGTACATTATTTGCAAGACTGTGTTTCTGATAGCACATGGTAGCAGATTGGACATTATGATCACATTGCCAAGAAAAAAAAGCATAAGGACCATTTTGAAATTAGGGGCAAGGGCTGGAGTGTCCCAATTTTCTTATTTGGAAATCTGGTCATACTAGTGATAGGCACTATATAAATCAAAACTAGCAGCATTTACCAAACCTTTTGATGGTCCACGTGTATTTCAACATAACATTTCAAATTCATATTTTAATCCTCTTATTATGGGCAGGTCAAAGTGAGCATGTCACGACTATTTTAGAGAGTTACCTTCAAAATTTAATTAAACTACTTTATTATCATGGTATACAAATAAACTTGGTATAACGATGTAGTTAATAAATAAAATTTTAATATTCTATAGTTTTAAGTTCTTAATTTTATAAGAAAATATTTTTAAAAAAACCTCAATCTCACCCTAGTATGAGAATTGTAACATTAGGTCTCTAGGTATCCCTTCTTCTCTTCTTCCTTTGTCATATAGTTCCCGTGAAAAGTGGCTCGAAGAGGAAAACTTCAACTCAACCTTTCCTTAGAGGCTAGTTCTTCTATTACATGATTGGCCCTGTAGTTGAAATCCTAGCTCTACATTGTCAACTTAATGATAATTAGCTTTACATACTAAGGTTGATCCATATGCATAAAATAAATTTGATAAACCCTGACTCATACTTCTGTATATTAAACAACCAATGTTCCTCTGCCTTTTTTTTCTGCATCAAGCATAGTATTTACTTTGCAATATTGCCTTCTTGGAGACACACATACACCACATTAGAAGCACACATCACTATTAATTTCCTTATAACTTGCACTACAGATGTTTTTAGTTGATAAACATGATAACCTTGTACCTTTTTTTTTATGATTCCTTTCAGAGATCTGAACCTTTATTTTGCTTTTGACAGTAATCCAATTGTATTAACATATCCCAATCTTTAAACAAGCTTGCATCTCATTCTGTCCAACAAGTTGTTCCTCTGTTTATACATTTGATATAATACAGCCCTTTTTCATCTTTAATAGTGTTTGGTGAAGGTAATAGAAAGTCAGTCAGAAAATAAATTTTTCATTGTTCCTTTCTTATCTATTTCATCCTTATAATAGTCAAGGTTCAAAAATAAATTATTAATTCTGACTTCTTAAATTTTTCAGTTCAACTGTGGTCAGTGTTCCTTCTAAGCTGCGAGGTCACACAACAACCAGTCAAGTGCTGCGCACTTCATTATTCCAGCCATGTACATCCTCAGTAATGGTGAGGAGTCTCAACACATTGGCGGCCTTAATGACTCCGGCAGTTGATAGGCCTAAAGCCCAAATAACCAACTGGTAGCATTGCAAAGTGGCATAATGATTCAATAGGGTCAATAGTAAAAAAATACCCCCCCCCCCCAAAAAAAAAAACAAAAAACTGGTAGCATACATCTGCACATTGCCTTGATACTGGTGCCCATGAAAAAATTCATTCTGCACATGGATTAAAAAATTAGAGGAAACATTTACTGTGGTATCACTTAATAAATGACATATATTTTTCTTTCTATTATTTTTCATTCGTGTTTGAACTATAAAAGTTTATCATGAATTTGGTACAACTGTTTGCATACTAATATTACTAAACAGTGTTATTAAGACAGTGTTTGTTAGCTTTCAGGAATCAGTCACATTTGTCTTTTGATAATCATTAAGTCTCTACACTTGATTTCTAAAGTCAGTTACAGTTACAGTTGACCTGTTAGAGAGTAAATAATTTTTCTTTTTTAGCCCATTTTTAAGCTCCAGTAATCCTGACTTGATTTAATTTCTCTAAATGATATCATCTTTTCAATTGCCAATAGTTTATTTAACTTTGGTATCCCATCAGTTATCTCATAGTTTTATATTTAGTTGTACTTCAAAAACATGAGGTTAAGCTAATATTTTGACCAGATGCAGAACAATGTCTAATTAATTTAAAATATCCATTTCTCCTTAATTATATTGTTTTGGCATGGTAAGTAGTTTGGTGTACATCTGACTGCAGGCATATATTAGTTGATTTCAAATATTATATAATTAAATATTCTGCTGCCCTGACCCATTATTTCTTCTCTGTTAGTTTTGTTTATTTCTCACCTCTAAAGCAGGTTAATATTCAATCATAAATATATAAAGACTAGCAAGATTATATTATACTATGTTTTTAGTCTGCTCAAATTTTACCTCACTGCAGTATCCTACAACCCTAAGATACATACATCAGATGTCTTGCTTGTATTACACCTAATGGGAGATGCTATCCAGTGCAGATTACTATACTACCTATATTTCTAGACATAGCTGACATGCCAATTGAAGTAATACAACAGTCCAAACAAGAATGACAATAGTATGTAACCTACTTTAGGTGGAGATTAGCACAAGGAATGGAATGTTAAAATACTGTCAGTTTTTAACTACCATAAAAGTAACAAGTTTCTTATCAAGTTCATATGAAGATTTATGGCTTGCATTTATTAATTAGTAAACTTATGACTTGTATAATAGTTTGTGAAGTATAAAATCAGGTGCAGATAATGGTGTGAACTGAAAGATTGACAAATTTTCCGTGCACACCTTTAATCTGTCTGCTTTTGAATAAGGTGAAAAATAGTATTTTAGCAAAGTCATTTAACACTTTTGCATCAGATTGGTGAAAGTGTGCCTGTCACACCCTTTCACAAAGTTACATTCAAAAGCTACATAAACTACTTTATTATCAATATGTGCAAATAAACTTGACATCAAACATAGTTAATAAACTAAATTGTAATATTATTTAAGTTTTAAGTTCTTAATTTTATAAGGATATAATTTTTAAAAATCCTCAATCTCCCTTAGTATAAGAACTGTGACATTTGTAAGCTATGTCTTCCCTATTCTTTAATTTATTTACCACCCCTCTGAGAAGTTTTCAATTCAACATAAATTACTCATCATAATATAGTTATTACTCAGGCAAAACCTAATTCTTATAGCCATCAATCATATTTGGTTTCAGAGTCATAAATTAGAATATGAAACCCCTCCACAAATTGCCAATAATTCTCCCTGATGTTTAATATTATATCATTTACAATCAATAGAAAGCCAAAGTTTCAAACTATTAAATGACATATGTTTTCTGCACAGCTAATTGTCAGTTTCACTTCCAGTTCAAACTTAATTCCCATGGGAAAGATATTGATGAGCATAGCTGAATTTCTGACGGCTATTGTCACATACTCAGAAAGCCAGATTAATTGTGATAGTTATGGGACATATCTGCTTTTTTGCATGTTATTATTCTGTGTTCGTTGGAGCATTATTTAGTTAAATAAAAAATTAATTACTGTAGTAATACCATTAGTATAAAAAAGTATGGTTAAGAAGAAGGTCCAAGTAAGTCCTCTATTTCTTGCTTTTCATGTGTATTCTTTATTTACTATTATAAAAGTAACTTTTTAGGTTAGGTTAGGTAAACTAAAGAATAATAATAATTTTTTTTCATAAGGTATGCTTACGAGTAGCCCGTGTGTTATATAATTTGATTTGGTAACATGAGTTGCATGTTTCCCAAGTAATTTAAAGTTTTTTGGCAGGAATATTAGTTTAGACAGATTCAAAGTGCAATAAAACAGTAAAATTTACGTTTAAACAGATGTATACTGTTAAGATAAGAAAGCTATTTAAGATAAACAAATCAAGTTTCATGTTCCAATTTGAAGTCATTTTAGAAAGAAAAAAGGGTAATTTTCGATTTTTTTTTTAATATCATTTTGTGGTTATGAAGTTGATAAAATCGACCAACCTCGTATAGAGTTCTGGTAGAGAAAATAACAGATAAAATAAAAAGTTTTACTAAAAAAAAATGTGGAGATTTTAGGGATTATACAAATGAAATTTGAAAATTTTCAGATGAAGAAAAATATTCTTGATCTTAGCAGGAAATTCACTATGCACTCGGAGCAGTAAACAATCTAACACCATATAATTAAACAGAAAGATTTAGTAAAAATACTTAATTCAAAAATTCAGATTTTTGTTTACAAAAGTCTTTTAAAGTTTACTGAAAGCTTGCCAAATTTCATGAAGGTACATAAGTACTTTCAGAGTTATAGTATATATATACACAACCTTAGTTACATGGTGGTTACAAGGTTCTGTAAAATACAGGTGGTCATCCTGATAGGGTTAATGAAAACTCTTATTACATTTGAAAGTGACAACTTTCCTTAAAGACCCTTTTTTTAATTTTTTTAAAGGATTTGGACTTCATTCCTGCTTTTGAAGGATCATAAAGTATTTTTAAGGTTGCTACAGAACTCTCACAAAGTAGTGAACAAATATTCTGAAGATATGTAAGGTGCAACTCCATGAATCAGTTATAACAAAGATAAAGATTAGGATTATTTTTATTGCTGAGCAGTTACTAAATAAAAGTGGTCTCTTTGAGGAGTATTTAAGCTATACAGATCAATCTTGTGAAACAGGTATTTTTGTTTTGTTGATATGGTATTTTTTACTTTAGGCTTATATCCATTCACGAATGAGAGCTAAAACATCAGACTTTCTGAAGGTTCTTAATCGAGCCAGACCAGAGCCCAAAAATGTTGAAAAAAAGACAATTACGTAAGTTTATTAGTCATAAATGTACATAGTGTAAGAACAGCAGAAATGAATATTCATATGTGGTAAAGAAAATTTTAATTCTTCTTGCTCTAAGCTATCCATGTACTGAAAAAGTAAAGAATTTCCTTGTTTTTCTCATTTTATTGCTAGCTACTGTTAGAACCTTTTGTGAGCATGTTATATTGAAGGATACATATTAGTTATATTGATTTTTCTTGATGAAAACTATTTAGCACTTACATACAGTGTTTATGTTGATGGTTTTACTGGTGAGTAACATTGCATGCAGACACAAACTATAATAATGGTTATAATGTCTTGGTCATATTTCTATTTCATTCTCGTACATAAAGCAACAGTGATTATAAGGAGATTTTCATAGTGTTTAGTATTCTATACTGATTTGTATATTAATGCTTTTCTGAAAGATGAATTATTTTTTTAATCCTGTAACACTGGCTTTATTGATATTTTAATAGTAAATAAGATTTCACGCTGATACTTAGTTATTGTTTGAATAGTGAATAGTTTGTATTTGTGTGTGTATATATATATATAGTGTTTAAATTTGCTGAATATGATTTCATTATTCCTCAAATTGCTGGTATAATAGTACCCATAGAAAGGCTGTTTTGAAATAACATCTATACTAAACAAATTTAAAACTTTCTTTCTTTACACTGTACATGATCACTAAGAATGTTTTAATATTCTTATTCTTGTTTCATAGTAACTTATAAAAAAGATTTGTATACTTCATTTACATTTTCTTTTTTCTCTTCTAGTGGTCGAACGTTTATTCGAACCTAAAGGAATATAGCTTCCATTATTAGTAGTTAGGATTGTATATGCTTGAGGACAATTTTGTGAAATGTAAAGCTTAAAGTTTTTTAACACTTGCTATATTTTTTCAGTTATATATAAAATCTTGAATTAAATAATTCTGTTATTAGGAATTTTTATTTTAAACTAACTAAAGATATGTTGTATGTGTTTCACTGAAAACTTGAAATTGGTAAAAGTTGATTGGAAATGTTAATATAATTATCTTTGTAATTTCATTCTTATTAAATATTTTACTTTTGGTTCAGTGTGATGAGTATTTCTTTTATCACTTTAAAAATGTTTCATATATATCAACTATTTTCTAAACTTTCTGCATTAGTGCTATTTTTTTCAAGCTGTACTTGTAATATTTACTAAATTCTTAAAAATACTGACTATTTTATGAATGGAGCTGCAGATATAGAATGTATTTTTAATGTTAAATAAACAAATTTTAGCGTTTATAATTTACAGAACTTCAAAATGTCCAATTCTTTACTGTGGTACAGTTTGTTCTGGTATTTTTCATGATGAGGAATGTTGCATTAGAATACCATTACCTAAAGTAGTATTATTTTAAAATATCAAGCAGTTTTTCAAAAATAGCTAGAAAGGAAGCAAAAGATATTTATTTGGAAACAAGAAATTACGTTGAATACTCATGAGGCTGAAAACTAAATGCATCATTGATATAGTTTTTGACTCAGAAATAAAACATTGAGTTTTACTGGAGAAGAAGCCTCAAGAATGAATTTGTTATTTGAAATACAGAAATCAATCGTAAAATAGTGTATAAGGTTGTGCTGAAGGATTTGAATTCATGCTGATTATCTGAATAACTAACTCTATGGGACCTGGATAAATGCATCCCACTGCAAGGACAAAATAGCACCAATGAGTTAAAATTTTATAGAAAATAAACTTGTAGTCTTTCTTCTGTTTAAAGCATTTAATATCATTTATACTTCATTTTATTTACAATTTGAAGTATAATAAGAAATGTTTTTTTATGGAGTAAGTATTATTTCATAGCTAAGGCTACAGTTTGTTAAGCCATGTTTACATTAGGTTTTATTGGCATAAGTTAAAGGTTTGAATGGGCAAAGAAAATGACTCAAAAGAAATGTATAAATGACTGTAATATGGGATTAAAACTTGTTACTTTTATTGTATGCCAGTGATCATAAACACAGTGAAATTGTGTGCCATGTTTCTCAAACAAAAACAGAGATATAATTTACAGTTTTATTGATTAAAAACTTTGTTTAAATTTTTTAATGGAATGTAGGAAAATGTAAAAATCAGTCATTGAAATCTACAATAAAAGTAAGCATTTCAGATGTTTTTTAAAAACTTTTCATAGTAAAGTATTATGGACTTTTTGAATCTATGAATTCCTACAAATATCATATATAGAAATAACATTTTATTTGCAAAAGTTAAATAATGTTTCAAAGTTCACCTCAAGTTTCCAACAATTTTATCCAGTTGTTTTTTTATTTTTTTGCAATGCAATAAACAAACCATACAACAGGTGCTTGGAATTGATATTTAAGAGTTAATCAGCTGTTACCAGTTAACAGAGGCAAAAGTTTAATATAGTTTTATATGATACATGTGGTATAAATAGGATATATATTGTTGCAGAACAGATTTGTTTCTGGTAATCTGAACCTTACGCCCTGTACTTTGGTACTGTTTTATTGTGAAGTTGATTCTCATTTCTCATAGCAATTACAGTGCATAAGATGTTTAGTTTCATTCCTAACATGGATTTACTATGTCGATGAATGAAGTACACAACTTCCAACTAGTACATTAAGCCAGTGGTTCCCAAACTATTGTAATGATTTGTGTATTAATGCTATTCTGAAAGATGAACTTTTTATCCTATAACACATTGGTTTTATTGATATTTTGACAATAATAAATATTTATTTTTACAATTAACCTCAGAATATCTTGTGTGAAACAAGGAAATCTTGCTTGTAAACAGAGTAATATTTTAGGGGTTAATTGTATTTAGACAGCTTACCTGCCCTCTAGTGAACTCCTAAGTGTTTAAAATACAGTAAGTTAGTGAATTATAAAAATGTTTTTAGAGGAAAGCTTGTAAAATTGTGCACATAAAATCAAGAAAAAAAAAAACATGAATATTTATACATTAAATACATAACACGTTATGGGTGAAACAATTCACATTTTCATCAAGAAGGGGGAAAAATCTTTGGGAAATGGAAATCCATGGATCTTCGTCGGATAGGGGCATTTGGAAACCTTTCTGGTGGTGAGAAACAATCTTTGAAAAATAAAATACACTCGCCACCTCAAAGTTGGAGGACAGCCTTAACGAGTTACCAACATATTCCACTCAGTGTTTGTGTATTGTTGACTTACCCTTGAACTATATCTCTTGATTTACGTTTTTATTAATATAAGCCACTGTTTAAAGTTTTCTTAAATTATGTATGCCAGGGGTATTCTGCTGGCTCAGAGGTCTAACTAGAGAGTTAACAGCATAAAATGGTTGTGAACCACTGCACTTAAGCAAAGCTCATATTTTACATTTAGATATCTTACATAACTTTTCGTAAATGTTTTTTTGGTACTTGTTTAATAATGAACAGAAAGTTGTAGTAAGTGTCGGAAGTAAGTATTTAAAGAAATATGAAAAACAAAATAAACTGAAGTGAGAAATAGTATTTTAGTAAAGTCATTTAGTAAAAACTTTTATTACACTTAAGAGTGCCAAATTCCCTTAAAGGGCCTGCAGTGTCTTCCCATGTAGAACTGTAAATCCTTATTAAATTTTGAAAAATAATGACAAGGTTTACTAGTTTAATACTATTCTATAATGAAGTTATAGCTCATGCTTGCAATGCATTTTCATTATGTGTGGCCATGTCTACTATCTTGTCCCTATCTGATCAGATATGTGAAATCTGACCAAAATTAGTATTTGTCTCCTCATTATTTAAAACACTTTAGAAGGAACACAATTATTGACTAGGCATTATTTTACTATTTCTTCTTTATTTTTGTTGTGAACAAATTTATGTTGGTTAAACAGATCTTTTTATTTTTTTTTGACAGTAACTTATTGCTTCTTTAAGCTATTTCCTTGGTTGAAAACAAATCATTGCAAGACTTCTACTTTTTTTACTTGTGCACAAAATTGGCAATGTTAAGTCTCCTTACTTTGATAAGATTGTAATTTTTAAATTTCTGAGGAAGATCCGTGTGTTTCCATTCCCAAAAGATTTTTTTGCCTTCCTGATGAAAAGATGAAGTATTTAACCTATAGTTTGTTTTGTAATGAACATAAAAATATCCATGTTGTTGTTTTCGTTTGTTTTTATTCTAAATTCAGGATTTTATGCATAAAATTTTGTAGGCCTTCCTCTAAAAATGTTTTTATAATTCACTTATTTGCTGTGTGTTAAACATATTTAGGTGTTCATTGGGAGGCTAGGTAGACTGTTTACATACAGTTTTTCCCTAAAATATTCCTTTGTTTACAGACAAAAATTTTCTTGTTTTACGCAAAATATTCTAAAGTTAATTGTGTGTTTTTTAAAATAAATGCTGTTAGCATCTGAAAAATAAGTGTTAAATGTATGTTTAAAATATTACAGTATAGGCTTAAACCTAGGTCTCTCGATCCCCTTTTAGTGCTGAAAATGAATACAGCATAAGATTAGCATCGTTGCATTTCACAAGAAGAGACCAAAGCTCATTACTCTTATTGTCACATTTTTGCATCTGATCTTACAAACTATGTATATGACTTATGTGAGGATGGAAAATTATTTTGGTATGTTTGAACAGTATTGACAACATGAGTAATTACTCTTGTCATACAATGATTTTGTGTTGTTTTCAAGGATTTTAGCAAAATAAACATATAATTTATTATCTATACTTTGATGAAATTCAGCACAATTAAAGAATACGTACAGAATTTGTCAAGTTTTTTCAGTAGATATCTTTTGTCCTGGTTATATATTTCTATGGTGATGTTTCAACACAACAGATAATACTATTGACTTTTTTTGCTATTGGACACTGAATTATCATCTGGTACTTTTCTGATAGTGACACTACCAGTGGTGTAGTGCTAACTAAAGAAGTGAGGAAACGCGTTTCGAAAGTGTTATAACTTATATTGATATTAATTACGTTGCCTATACATAAAAACACATATTTCAGAAATAGTAGCTGTAAATTGTAATTTAAATCTACGTTTGAAAATGTTACAATAAAAAAATTATTTTGTCTCACCTTGAACTTTTAAATTCCTGGATAACTTATTAAAGGACTTCCAAACTTGGTCCATATAGAATTCCGTGGACTTGGCTACTCTTGTTCGTGTATCAGTTGCTGAACGATGACATCTAAGTCATTTGTATTGTTAGGTATTCGTTCGTTAGTTGATTTTCCGACGAAACTTCAGCGACACAAGTCATTACCCATTTAAGCCGTCTCCAGCCATTATTAGTCTCAAAGT